GCCATTTAAACCTTCCTTGAAAATATTAATAGCATAGCAGATTATGCAGAAGATAGCTTCTCTGATCTGGAAGACAAAACCACCAAAAAGAATGAAAAAATACTGCAAATAAAGATGAGGATAGGATACATGACATACTAGATACCATTAAGTGCCTAAACATCCAAATAATTTGTATTCAAGAAGGTGAAGAATCTAATAAGGGCATTGAAAATCTCTCCCATGAAATACTTGCAGGAAACTTCCCAAACTAGATAAACATTCAAACATCCAGACACTAGAAATACAAAGGACTCCAAATAGAATCAACCTAAAAAGAACTTCTAAATGGAACACCATAACCAGATTGGTCAAAATCACAAAGGTGAGATTGTAAAAAGGGTAAGAGAGAAATGTCAAATTATTTACAAAGGTTTTCACCTTACCTTAACATCAGACCTCTCAACTGAAGCAATGTAAGCAAAGAAAGAATGGGAAGATATATTCAAAATGCTAAAAGAAACAATTTCAACCAAGAATCCTATACCGGGTAAGACTTTCCTTCATCTGAGAAAAACAAAAAAAATCATTCTTAGATAAACAAAAATTAAAAGATTTCACCAACACTAGACCAGCTCTTTAAGAAGTACTGGAGGGAGTATTATATCAGGAAAACTAAAGAGACACAAACAGAAATAAGAGAACAAAAAACAACCAAAAACATGAGCCACATTCAGATACCACTTTCATTGGTTTCATGAAACCAATGCCATGTTTGTAAGACTTGCGTTTTCTTTTTTTATAAGCCAGAGAACACATATGCTCACCAGAGAGAGACAGAGAGATAGAGAGAGAAAGAGAAAGAAAGCACTTCCTCTCCGCAGTAGGGCCTGGTCATGTTGTAATCCCTTCTCCTCCATTTCTCCCTCCTTTGGAGATTCTGGTCCTGCATGCATACGTTCCTAGTATGTTTTTTAAGCCTCCATGGCTGGGAATTGAACCACATCATCAATCACATGTGATCTGGTTCTCTTAACCATCAGGCCATGAGAGAGGCCTGAGATTTGCATTTCAATGCAAATGCATTTCGCATGCAGGGTGTCATGGGATGTTAATGTCCTAGGGTCCCTGAGATTTAATATTATTATTGACCTGATGGCATAATGGGCCATGATGGACACAGGTGTTAAATACTATAGGGTGTCTGAGGTGGCCAGGTAGTTCATCAAGAATTATCATTTGAATTCTGTATCTCTTTGCTTATTTTTTTGTCTAGATGATCTATCCAGAGGACAGAAAATCTCCAATGATTATTGTGTTGCAGTCTTTCTCTCCTTTTTGATCAAGCACTCTATCTTTCATGCATTTGAGTGCTCCAGTGTTGGGTACATAGATATTAATAAGTGTTATTTCTTCTCGGAGAATTAGTCCTTTAGTACTATATAGTACTATAGTCCTTCTTTGTCTCTTCTTACAGTTTTTAATCTTAAAATCTATTCTGTATGATATCAGTATTGTGACTCCAACATTTTTTTTATAGAAAGATTTTTTTGCTATAGAGCACATGCAGTCACCAGAGAGACAGAAAGTGAGAAGTCACCCCCCACCCTCCAGAGAGGTTGGCCATGCCACAATCCCTTCTCCTCCATTCTTCTCTTAGGATTTTGGGCATACATGCATATGCATGAGTTTAAGCTGCCAGGTCTGGGACTCAAACCACGGTCGACCATGTGGGAGTTCAGGAATGCAACCATTATGCCATCTGCTGATGTAACTCCAAAATTTTTTGATTTCTATTTGCTTGGAATACTTTTACTAGCCCTTCACTTTCAATCTGCTTATCTTTATCTGTGAGGTGTGTTTCTTGTAGGCAGGATATAAAGGGCTCCTTTTTTAAAAAAATCATTCATTCAGTCTGTGTCTTTTGATTGGAGAATTTATTCCATTAACATTCAATGCTATTTGCAGACTTTTCCCTGCCATTTAAACCTTCCTTGAAAATATTAATAGCAGATTACACCATGCAGAAGATAGCTTCTCTGATCTGGAAGACAAAACCACCAAAAAGAATGAAAAAATACTGCAAATAAAGATGAGGATAACATACATGACATACTAGATACCATTAAGTGCCTAAACATCCAAATAATTTGTATTCAAGAAGGTGAAGAATCTAATAAGGGCATTGAAAATCTCTCCCATGAAATACTTGCAGGAAACTTCCCAAACTAGATAAACATTCAAACATCCAGACACTAGAAATACAAAGGACTCCAAATAGAATCAACCTAAAAAGAACTTCTAAATGGAACACCATAACCAGATTGGTCAAAATCACAAAGGTGAGATTGTAAAAAGGGTAAGAGAGAAATGTCAAATTATTTACAAAGGTTTTCACCTTACCTTAACATCAGACCTCTCAACTGAAGCAATGTAAGCAAAGAAAGAATGGGAAGATATATTCAAAATGCTAAAAGAAACAATTTCAACCAAGAATCCTATACCGGGTAAGACTTTCCTTCATCTGAGAAAAACAAAAAAAATCATTCTTAGATAAACAAAAATTAAAAGATTTCACCAACACTAGACCAGCTCTTTAAGAAGTACTGGAGGGAGTATTATATCAGGAAAACTAAAGAGACACAAACAGAAATAAGAGAACAAAAAACAACCAAAAACATGAGCCACATTCAGATACCACTTTCATTGGTTTCATGAAACCAATGCCATGTTTGTAAGACTTGCGTTTTCTTTTTTTATAAGCCAGAGAACACATATGCTCACCAGAGAGAGACAGAGAGATAGAGAGAGAAAGAGAAAGAAAGCACTTCCTCTCCGCAGTAGGGCCTGGTCATGTTGTAATCCCTTCTCCTCCATTTCTCCCTCCTTTGGAGATTCTGGTCCTGCATGCATACGTTCCTAGTATGTTTTTTAAGCCTCCATGGCTGGGAATTGAACCACATCATCAATCACATGTGATCTGGTTCTCTTAACCATCAGGCCATGAGAGAGGCCTGAGATTTGCATTTCAATGCAAATGCATTTCGCATGCAGGGTGTCATGGGATGTTAATGTCCTAGGGTCCCTGAGATTTAATATTATTATTGACCTGATGGCATAATGGGCCATGATGGACACAGGTGTTAAATACTATAGGGTGTCTGAGGTGGCCAGGTAGTTCATCAAGAATTTTTTTTTTTTTTTTTCTAGAGAGGTTTTTGCTATAAGGCGTGTGCGCTCGCCAGACAGACAAAGAGAGATAGAGAGCCAGAAAGCGAGGAATCACCCCCCAGGGGGGATGGCCATGCTGCAATCCCTTCTCCTCCATTCTCCTCTCGGGATCTTGGGCACGCACACACACGCGCCCAGTGTGAATTTAAGCCACTGGGTCCGGGATGCGAACCGCAGTTGACTACATGGGAGTCCAGTGACATAGCCATTACGCTAACTGCTGGTCCCTCATTAAAGATTTTTTAAAATAAAGTTTATGTATTAGGGCCAGCAGGTGGCATGGTGGTTAAAGATGCTGGACTCCCACATAGCTGATTGCAATTCAAGTATTAGACCTAGTGGCTTGCTTTCTCACTTTCCCTCACTCTCGCTCTCTCTTAAATAAGATAATAATAATAATAATAAAGTTTAAAAATAAATTCTTTTAAAAAATTGTATGTAATTATGGTTTTCTTCAGAGGGAGGGAGGAAGAAAACAGAGAGAGACAGACACCTCTGACAGGATCTTCATGCCACGAACCACACCTGGCCTCAGCCAGCCTGGGTTATAGACAGTGTATGTGCCTGGTGTGCACAGGGAGAGCTCAGAACGTGAGCCCAGGGCCCTCCCGTGTGGGTTTGGCATCACAGAGCATTGAGTTACCTCTGTGCCATGGTGGCTGGCCCAGTAGTGATTTTAGGTGTGATTATAGAAGGCATTGCATGAGAACTACTCTAGGGATAAGTAAATTTCCAGCTGCATGTTTAGAGGTCTCACCCTAGCAATATCCTGGATTCAATCTGTAATGTGAGGAAAAGCCAGTCATGACCCTTTGATGGGGCAGGGCCAGGGCTGAAGGTGGGAAGGAAGCACAGGGGACTGCACTAAATGAACATTTGTTCTGTGTCAGATTTTCTGGAAGATTTAATTAGTCTTTACCACAAGCTAAGGAGAAAGCTATTATTATGCCTATCTGATGGGTGAAGAAATTGAGGCCTAGAGAGGTGAAGTCACTTGCTCTGCACACTCAGCTCTAGATGCAAATTCGGGTTTGTGGGTCTCCCAAACCCAGTCTCTGCCTCATCCAGTGCTGCCTTCTTACTAGTACAGAAAGGTCAACTGAGGGCCACTGTGGAGTGGGTGGGGTGGCAGCTGGAGTGATGGTGGCAACAGCAAGTGAGAAGTTGCTCTTGCAGGAAGTGAGACAGCCCTGGATATGCGGTACCAGGGCCGTTTGCCTGCATCTGTTCCCACTGGCTGCTGTCTGGATCTTCTATTCCTTTTATTTGGAAACAGACTTGTTTTCTAGGAACAGAAAGGGAGGATGCCCCTCTGATGATTTGATCGCTACCACTTATAAAAGCCCAAGAATATGTCACTCCCCAATTTAGGGGCTATAACAAAGTGTCTTCTGTGCCAGCCTCAGAAATGTCAGGTTGACCAGATGGAGAAGAGCCAGAGTGAGGCAGCAGGCCACCGTGAGGTTTCCAAGCAAAGCCCGGCAGAACATAAAGGGAGTGTGTCTTTTGATTCATGTACCAATTACACACAGTGTATTACATTACCAGGCTAATAGGAAATAAACCAGAGGAGCATCTGTTCACGTCCGAGCCCACGCATGCCTCTGAATTGCTCAGCCCTGCTGGCCACCTCCCGGCCTGGTCCCTGGAGGCTGATGGAGCGGACCATTGTTTTGGCTTTTCCAGGATCATTGGAGAGGCTATGTGCATCCCAGTCAGGCAGCAGAGGCCAGGAACCCCCTTTTGCTTCCTTCTTTTTCCCTGGGCGGAGGGTGTGTGTTGGGGGTCACCGTCATCCTTCAGTCCAGATCCGTGGTGCAGGGATCTGGATTTTCTCCTCTGGTGCTTCCCAAAATGCTGCTGCCCAGTCAGGAAAAGGCTCTCCTCGGCAGATACAGCCCAGAGGATGCGGAGCTCGGCAAGCACAGTGTTAGCTGGATTTCCTGTGTAGGGCACACCCTGGTCAGGATCTCAGGAGATCTGGATGAGGTGGGAGGAGATGGAATGGGTGGGAGGACTGAGGGAATCCACCCTGGAGGAAGGAAGTGGCTAGGCTCAGGGGCTGGGAATTGGGCACCCCTCCCTTCCTCTATTTTCTTTCCTCAATCCCTCTGCCGCACAGTCTCCTGTTGCTTTAACATCTCCTTCCAGCCTCCTCACCCCACACTAAAATGACTCCATTAGGACGTTGGGGAAAATCTCAGGGTTCCAATGGGCTCTGGAGGAAATGGGAATGGTGGTCAATATAAGAAAAACAATTTAAGTGCCCCATCTCATCAGTAACCCAGGAAATGGGAATTTAATGACCACAGGATTCCTGGGAATTATCTCCTGTGAGGGAGGTAGTTAGAATGCTCTCGGGAGCAGTCATTTTGCTCATTTTGAATTTTTTGTTTAGGATGTAATTCTCTAGTATGCCTCAGGATGTAACTGATTTGAATGTTGTATTTCTCAAAATTCTGGAACACCATACTACTGAAGATGAGCCTCGTAATCACTGGTGGATGATCCCCAGGTCTCTAAGCATCTCAGGAGCCAGAAGGAAGAGCTGAAGAGCCATCTCAAATCTGGGGCAAGAACACTCTTAGGAGGCCAGCCAGTGGTGTGGTGGTTAAGGCAGCTGGATTCCACATGGAAGACCATGCATTAGAATCCTGGACCCAGCATCTTAAAAAACACATGTATGTCATACCCAGAATCCCAAGAGGAGAATGAAGGAGAAGGGATTGTGATGTGGCCATCCTCCCTGGGAGTTGGTTTCTCACTTACTCTCTCTCTCTCTCTGTCTCTGGTGAGTGCATGCATCCTATACGAAAAACAAAAACAAAAACAAATGAAAGAAACCACTCATGACTCAGAAGGCAGAGCTCTGCAGGTCAGCACGCCTGGGTAGAATCTAGGTAGGATCCTTTCTGATGTGTGACCGTGGTGGGCTCTGAGCCACAAGATGGCAGCCCTGATGTGGGATGGGCAGAACCCCTGGGGGAGCGAAGGGAGAGTGCTCGAATTCCAGCGTCATCCTTTGCTTGCTGAGTCACCTTATTCAGTTTACCTTACTCTTCTGAACCTCGGTATCTTTTCCTGTCAGTGGGGACTGTTTATACTTAAACAGGGTTGCCCTACAAACTAAATGGGATGATGCATGAAAAGGGCTTAGTATGGCTCCGGAATGCAGTAGGCATTCAAAATGTACTTTTAGATAAGATGAAGGTTGACTAGGAGGAGGGAGGAAGGCTCCAGGCAGTGGAAGGGCTTGAGTAGTGGGAAGCATGGAGCAGTTTGTCTTGTTGGGGGGGATTATAAGCTGTTCACCCAGTGGAAGGAAGGGCGTGTTGAGAGACAGACCTGAAGAGGTAAGAGGGCAGTAACTGTGGAAGGCATTAACTACTGCTCTGAGGTATCATCTGTTTCCTCTGAGTGGGGGTGTGTCAGGGCTGACTGGCCTTCAGCTCCAAATCCATCTTCTCTTCTACTCTTTTAGCAGTGGGCACGATGGTAGGCCCCGTCCACAGGGAGCTGGAGGAAGAGGCATCTCCTCTTGGCACCCAGGCTTTTGTTTCTTTTTGTTCCCAGGACATGGCTGTAAGCAGTTGGCCTCCACCCCAGCAGGTGGATTCCCTGCCAGTGATGGGTTGGGGAGGCCCAGGGGTGCCCATCTTCAGGGAGAAACCAGCCAGTGGGTGCTTTCCTGCCCACTATGTATGGTCAAAACTTAGTCACCAATGTGATAGCATTAAGAGGTGGGGCCTTTAGTCGGTGAGGGCTCTGCTCTCACAAATGGGATTAGCAACCTTATAAAGCAGCCGAGTGAACTAGCCAGGCCCTTCTGCTCTCTATCCCGGCTGCCATGTGAGGACATGGCTTTCAAGCGCCATCTTGGAAGTAGAGATTGAATTTGTTGGTGCCTTGATCTTGGATTTCCTGGCTTACAGAACTGCGAGAAACTAATTTTTATTATTTATACATTGTCCAGTCTGTGGTATTTCATTATAGTAGCATGAACAGACTAAGATATTACTAACTGTGACCTGTGGCACCCTAGCAAATTTTGCCACCACCCAGCAGGTCTTAGCCACACCTTCTCCAAAGAGGTCTGAACCCCAGTCTTGGGTGGAGTGAGGCTCGTTCACAAGCAGTCTTCCCTTGGGTACCCTGCCTTAGCCCCAGAGGTAGATCCACTCTTTTTCTTTTAAAAGTTTTTTCCAGAGCACATGTCCACTTGTGTGTGTGTGTGTGTGTGTGTGTGTGTGTGTGTGTGAGAGAGAGAGAGAGAGAGAGAGAGAGAGATAGCATCCAAAAGAGCATAGCCAGGCTGCAGCCCTTCTCTGCTTCCCTGTCTTCTCAGGGTCTGGGGCACACACACACGCCTGGCTTGTTTCTGAAGCTGCCTTGGCTGAGATTCAAACCGTGCACTTGGCCATGTGGGATCTGGTTCCCTTAACCACTAGGTCACAAGACTAGCCTGGTTTCCATTAAAAAAAAGAAAAATTGCCAGAGAGTGCATGTGCTTGCTGGAGTGACAGAGAGACTGTTTCCTTATTTGTGAGGAAGGTCTCCATGCTCTGCTCTGGGCTATGGGAGCATTGAACTCAGAGGCAGTGGCAGCCTCTTTGTGAACAGTAATCACTGCTCAGAGGTGAGGCACTTGTGTCAAAGACTGTGAAGAGGTGAGCTGTAGCGTGGAGAGGGGGCTCAGTCAGGAACCCTGAGATCAGGGAGGGGCCTGCTTCTGGCTCTGCCTCCTGGTCCCTGCGGCAGTTAACATACAGGGACCTCAGATTCCTCATTTGTAAAGCAGAACTCCTTATGCCTGGGAGCGCCTCCTGCCTGGGCTTCCACCTGTGCCCTGTGTCAGACGGGGAAACCAGTAGCTCCATGTTCTGGGTTGCTTTGAGGGGTAAGTGCATCGGTGTGCGAGCAGCAAGGGGAGGTCTGCTGTGTTGACAGCATGCGTGGCCTGGCATGCAGCTGCTCGGGTTCCATTCCCAGCTGTGCAGCCTAGGGGTGGGGCACTAAACCCTGTGACTCAGCTTACCCAACGAAAGCTCCAGCACACAGGGTGATCAGGAGGACCAAGTGTGTTAGACGACTGTATTATTTTCTTAGGGCTACCTCTCCTTGGAATGTCTCGGCCTGCATGTGCCTCCTGGGCCTGGGTCTGCCCCTCCAACCTCACCTCCTACCCCTCCTTCCCTTTTGCTCCTAAGCTCACCTCCCTGTTTCCTTTCAGTTCCTCCAACACACCAGGCTTGGTCGCGCCTCAAGGCCTTTGCTTTGTTCCAGGTTCCCTCTTGCAGAAAGTCCTTCCTGAGGTCTTGGCCTGGCTCCTCCCTGTCATCATTCACACCAGTCCCTGTTCAGATGTCTTTCCCCCCTACCAGTGAAAGGAACTCTGCCCAAGCCTGCTGCTGTCTCGTTGCATTCTCATGTTCTTCCTAAAACTCACTTTGATCTGAAATGATCTTATGTCTTGTGTATTTCCTTGTGTGGCTGTTTCTGCAAGTAGAACTTGGCATGCTCTAAGAGGTCAGAAATTATGAATATCTTGTTTAACGCTGCATCTTTATTGCCAGGCACAGGGTGTGGGATTCAGGAACTCAGTAATATTTGCTGCATGAGTGAAAACCAGCACTGGGACCAATTAGTCATAGAGTGTGCGTGGGAAAAGGCATCAGGAGATTCAGCCCTGACTCCTTCTTACCACTGGCCCCTGGGTCCCCAGTTTTAATAAACAAGCCTCTGCCTTGTTCCTGAAACTTGCGCCTTGCTTTCTCAGTCTGGACGCTTCACAGTCATTGAGCACCTATGGAGGCTGAGTGCCAGAGCAGGTGCCCGAGAGGAGGATTTCAGAGCACAGCAGAGGGCAGCTCAGTGAAGCCATCTACCCAGACTGGAGCAGGAGGAAAGCCAGACTGGCTTCCTGGAGGAGAGGACACCTCAGATAGAATATTAAAGTTGGATCGAGTATGGCCAGGGCAGGTTGTCGACTATCACGTGAGAACCTGTTGCCACTTCCTCCTCCTTGCAGTCACTGATCGACCTTGAGTTTGTGTCTTGTAGTCCTGAGGCTTTCAGCTCCTGACTCTGTCATTTTCTCCAGTCTGGGCTCCAGGAGCCCTAATTTTGGGGGATTTTAGTATCTGCAGAGAGGATCCCTCTGATAACCCAGCCTCTTGGCTGCTTGAGCCCCTGTCCTTCAGTGACCTGTCCTCACCCTGTCTTCATTCGGCCAGGCCCATGGTTATATTCTAGACCTTGTTCTCACCAACATCCAGCAACTACCATGTTCTGATCCAATTCCATGCTTCCGCCACCACCACCTCCTCTTTCGAGACTCCCCGTGCTTTCCTGTCTCCGATGGTCTCTGAGCGCATCCAGCCCTTATTCCACCCACAGATCCCACCATCCATCCGGAGCCCCCCTCCCTGCACACGGCCTCCTCGCTCCTGCCCCTGCTTGGCAAAACCCCAGCCTCGGTGACATCCTCCTCCCCTTCCTCCCTCCCTTCCTGCTGCTTCCCTGCCTTCTCTTCCTCCTCGTTCTTCTTCTCCCTGTCCCAACTGCTTATTTTATTTCAAAGCACTCATCACCTACTGATAAAACCCATATTTATTTATCTATTGTCTCCTTCACCCCCTACACTGCATTTCCTTGAGGACTGATCTTTCATCTTTTTCACTCCCTTTTGTATCAGTCAGGTGACAGTTGTTCCAATTTTGAAAAAGCTTATTCATGGTATGTCTCTGCCACATCCGAACATCTCTGAAGTTGGGCCAGGCAGTGGCCGTGACGCTGTTGCTGCAGCCTGAGCATCTGACTGACTCAGGACTTCCAGGGTCGGCATCAACAGCTGCAAGAAAACCCCGCAACGGCAGGAAAGCCCGCGTGACCCAGAAGCACTGGGGACAGTACTGTGTGTAAAACGAGGGCAGAAGTGATTTGGAGTTAAAAAGTGATTCAGAAGACTTGATCTCTAGATAGAAAGACGCTTGAGAACTTTTCTTTCTGGTTGCTAGAGGGCGCAAATATTCAACAGAGAGACAGAGAAACAGGGAGAAAACACCCCTGAGTGGCATGGTCACACCTCAATCCCCTTTCCTCCTTTCTTCCACCCTGTCAGGATTTGGGGCATGCACACATATGGGCCCGGTAGTTTTTTTAAGCCTCTAGAGCCAGGTTTCAGACTGTGGTCCCCCATGGGGGACCTGGCTCCCTCAACCAGTCGGTACAGGGCTGACCCAGGACTACACTGCCCCATTTATCTTCCTTATTATGTACTCACAGTTGAGACATGTGATACAAGCGTATGCATTAAATAGCCTCGAATAACTTAAAAATACTTATTTTAAAGTTTCTTTCTCCTTGAGTCACACATACACAAGCACACACTTACACCACAGAGTGCATCCTGCAAGGGGGTCTTGTCACCACACTTCATCCCCAGCCTTAGCCAGCCTCAGATCCTGTGCACAAGCTTTTGCATACTCGGGGAGATCTCTGGACATGAACCCAGAACCTTCCTAAGTGACTCAGCCTTGCAGAGTGTCTCATTTTACTGTTGTGCTACTGTCTGGGCCCCTAAAATAACTGTAATAAATACAAAAGTACAAAATCTAAGTAATAAGAAAGTGTTGCGGCCTAATTTTGAAATTCTTTTTAGTGATTTTATATATATATATATATATAAAATCACTAAAATCACTAAAATATA